GTTTTTTATGCCTCTTCATGTGAAATAATTTATCCCATTCTACCTCTCCCTTCCTTCTGCCCGGTGTACTCCTCTTTTTCATCCCTTAATTATTTTTCATGCCATTCCCTGAAATTCACCTTATAACTGTATCCTCTGCCTATGTATATTGCTTCTAGCTGCACTATTCATGGTACAATTTTTAAGAATTACAAGTATCATCTTCCCATGTAGGAACATAAACAATACAGCTCCATTAAATTCCTTATGGGTTTTTTTTCCCTTTATACCTTTTTAGGCTTCCCTTGGGTCTTGATATTGGAGATAAAATTTTTTTTGGGGGGGGGCTAGGCAATGGGGTTAAATGACTTGCCCAAGGTCACACAGCTCATGTTATGTGTCTGAGGCAGGATTTGAACTCAAGTCCTCCTGAATCCAGGGCCAGTGCTCTATCCACTGTGCCACCTAGCTGCCCTGGAGATAAAATTTTTTGTTCAATTATGGTCTTCTCCCTGTGAAAGCTTGAAATCCTTCTATTTTGTTGAATGACCATTTTTCCCCTTGAAGTATTATGCTCAGTTTTGCTGGGTAGGTGATTGATTCTTGGTTATAGTCCTACCTCTTTTGGTAGAATGTCATGTTCTATGACTTCTGATCCTTTAATGTTGCAGCTGCTAAGTTCTGTGTAATTCTGATTGTGGTTCCCCAATATTTGAATTGTTTCTTTCTGGCCATTTGCAGTATTTTTCCTTGACTTGATAGTTCTGAAATTTGGCTATAATGTTCCTTGGAGTTTTTATTTTAGGATCTCATTCCTCTGGTGATCAGTGAATTATTTCAAAGCCTATTTTGCCCTCTGGTTCCAGAATATCAGGGCAATTTTCTTTTCTTTTTTTAAATTAATTAGTTTTAGTTTTCAACATTTACTTCCATAAGATTTTGTATTCTAAATTTTCTCCTCCCCTCTCCCCTCCCACCTCCCCAAGATGACATGCAATCTGATATAGTCTCTACATATACATTCATATTAAATATTTTCATATCAGTCATGTTGTAAAGAAAAATTAGAACCAATGGGAAGAACCACAAGAAAGAAGAAACAAAATAAGAAGAAAGAAAAGAGAGCAAATTGTATGCTTTGATCTTCATTCAGACTCCATAGTTCTTTCTCTGGATGTGTATGGCATTTTCCACCATGAGTCTTCTGGAGTTGGCTTAGATCCTTGCACTGCTGAGAAGAGCTAAGTCTATCAAAGTTAGTCATCACACAATGTGGCTGCTACTGTGTACAACATTCTCCTGGTTCTGCTCACTTCACTCAGCATCAGTTCATATAAATCTTTCCAGGTTTTTCTGAAGTCCACCTGTGCTCATCATTTCTTATGGAAATGGTATTCCATTACATTCATATACCACAACTTGTTCAGTCATTCCCCAATTGATGGGCATTCCCTCAATTTCCAATTCTTTGCCACCCCAGAAAGAGCTGCTATAAATATTTTTGTACATCTGGGTCCTTTTCCCATTTGTATGATCTCTTTGGGATACAGCCCTAGAAGTGCTATTGCTGAGTCTCACAGTTTTATAGCCCTTTGGGCATAGTTCCAAATTGCTCTCAAGAACAGTTTGATCAATTCACAACTCCACCAACAATGCATTATTAGTGTTTCAATTTTTCTACATGTTCTCCAATATTTATCTTTTTCCTATTTTGTCATGTTAGCCAATCTGATAGGTATGATGTGGCACCTCAGAGTTGCTTTGATTTGCAATTCTCTAATCAATAGTGATTTAGAGCATTTTTTCATATGACTATAGATAGCTTTAATTTTTTCAACTGAAAACTGCCTGTTTATATCATTTGACCATTTATCAATTGGGGAATGACTTGTATTCTTATAAATTTGACTCAGTTCTCTACATATTTTAGAAATGAGGCCTTTATCAGAGACACTGGTTGTAAAAATTGTTTCCCAGCTTTCTGTTTCTCTTCTAATCTTGATTGCATTGGCTTTGTTTGTGCAAAAACTTTTCAATTTAATGTAATCAAAATTATTCATTTTATATTTCATAATGTTCTCTATCTCTTGTTTGGTGATAAATTCTTCTGTTCTCCATAAATCTACCAGGTAAACTACCAGGGCAGTTTTCCTTGATAATTTCTTGAAAAATGCTGTCCAGGTCCTTCTTCTGATTATGACTTTCAGGTAGTCCAATGATTCTCATATTTTCTCTCCTGGATCTATTTTTTAGGTCAGTTGTTTTTCCAATGAGATAATTTACATTTTCTTCTATTTTTAAAAAAAAGATTTGATTGATTCTTGATCTCTCATAGAGTTATTAGCTTCCACTTGCTCAATTCTAATTTTTTTCTTTTTTTATTTTTAATATAAATTTATTTATTTTTAGCTTTCAACATTCACTCCCACAAGTTTTTGAATTCCAAATTTATACCCCATCTCCCCCTCCTCCCACCCCAAGATGGCATGCATTCTGAATATCCCTTCCCCTAGTCTGTCCTCTCTTCTATCTCTCTCCCCTTCTCTTATCCCCTTCCCCTTCTATTTTTCTGTAGGGCAGGATAGACTTCTGTACCCCATTTCTTCTATTTCTTATTTCCCAGTAGCATGTGAAAACATTTTTTTAAACATATGTTTTTAAAACTTTAGGTTTCAAATTTTCTCTCTTCCTCCCTCCCCACCCACCCTCATTGAAAAGGCAAGCAACTCAATATAGGTTGTACATGTGCAGTTATGCAAAACACTTCCATAGTAGACATGTTGTGAAAAACTAACTCTATTTCCCTTAATCCTATCCTGCCCTCCCATTTATTCTATTCTTTCTTTTGACCCTGTCCCTCCTCAGAAGTATTTACTTCTGATTATTCCCTTTCCCAATCTGCCCTCCTCTCTATCATCCCCCTGCTCTCTTGTCCCCTTCTCCCCCTATTTTCCTGTAGGGTAAGACAGATTTCCATACCCAATTGAATGTGTTTGTTATTCCCTCCTTAAGCCAAATCCTATGAGAATAAGATTCACTCATTCCTCTCACCTTCCCCGTTTCCCCTCCACTGTAAGAGACTTTTCTGTTTTTTTTGTGAGATAATTTACCCCATTCTACCTCTCCCTTTCTTCTTCTCTGAGTATAATCCTCTCTCATCCCTTAATTTTATTCTCCAGATATGACCCCTTAATCTTCAACTCACCCTGTGCCCTCTATCTATCTATCTACATATACTATATATATATATATATTTTTTTCCTCCAACTACCCTAATACTGACAAAGGTCTCATGAGTTATAAATATCATCTTTCCATGCAGGAATGTAAACAGTTCAATCTTAATAAGTCTCTTATGATTTCTCTTTCCTGTTTACCTCTTCATGTTCCACTTGAGTCCTGTATTTGAAAGTCAAATTTTCTATTCAGCTCTGGTCTTTTCATCAAGAATGCTTGAAAGTCCTCTATTTCACTGAATGACCATTTTTTCCCCTGAAGGATTATACTCAGTTTTGCTGGGTAGGTGATTCTTGGTTGTAATCCTATCTCCTTTGCCCTCCAGAATATTATATTCCATGCCCTGCGTCCTTTAATGTAGAAGCTGCTAAATCTTGTGTTATCCTGATTGTGTTTCCACAGTACTTGAATTGTTTCCTTCTGGTAGCTTGTAATATTTTCTCCTTGACCTGGGAACTCTGGAATTTGGCTACAATATTCCTAGGAGTTTTCCTTTGGGGATCTCTTTCAGGAGGAGATTCTTTCAATTTCTATTTTGCCCTCTGGTTCTATATATCAGGGCAGTTTTCCTTGATAATTTCTTGAAAGATGATGTCTAGGCTCTTTTTTTGATCATAGCTTTCAGATAGTCCAATAATTTTTAAATTCTCTCTCCTGGATCTATTTTCCAGGTTGTTTTTCCAATGAGATATTTCACATTGTTTTCTAATTTTTCATTCTTTTGGATTTGTTCTACTGTGTCTTGATTTCTCATAAAGTCACTATCTTCCAATTGCTCTATTCTAATTTTTAAGGAAGTATTTTCTTCAGTAAGCTTTTGGACTTCCTTTTCCATTTGGCCAATTTGCTTTTTAGGGCATTCTTCTCCTCATTGGCTTTTTGGACCTCTTTTGCCATTTGGGTTAGGCTATTTTTTAAGGTGTTATTTTCTTCAGTATTTTTTGGGTCTCCTTTAGCAAGCTGTTGACTTGTTTTTTTGATTTTCTTGCATCACTCTCAGTTTTTCCTCTACTTCCCTTACTTGCTTCTCAAAATCCCTTTTGAGCTCTTCCAAGGCCTGGTATTGATTTTTTTTTTCTTGGAGGCTTTGGATGTAGGAGCTTTGACTTTGTTGTCTTCTTCTGGTTGTATATTTTGATCTTCTTTTTCACCAAAGTAAGATTCTGTGGTCTGACTCTTTTTGCACTGCTTGCTCATGATCCCAGCCAATTACTTGAGTTTTAAACTCTTTGTTAAGGTAAGAGTCTGCTTCCAATGTGGAGAATGTATTGTCCCAAGCTTCAGGGGTTTGTATAGCTGTTTTCAGAGATACTTGTAGGGACCTGTAAATTTTCAGTTCTTCCAAGGTGGTATGATAAGGGGCGAGGTGTTTACTCCTTTCCTGGCCTGTGACCACAAGTACTCCTTTCTGTCCTGTAACTGTGAGGAGGGGCTTCTCTTCACAGCCACTACAAGCTCCTCCATGCCAGTGTTCCTCCTTACCCCAGCACCGCCGCCCAGAACCATGACCCAGGTACAAACAGGGGCAAAGCAAGAGATTTCTGCCTCAGCACTGGCAAAGAGATCCCTGCGATCCCTCTCTGATCAGCCACTGCATTCCCCCTCAGTTTGTGGGCTGGAAGCTCGGGAAGCAGCTGCCCCCCCACCCCAGGCCAGCTCTTGGGGAATGGAGCTGAAACCCCACCTTCCTGTCTCAGCACCAACAGAAACAGACTTTTCCCTCTGACGTTCTAAGTTGTCTTTGGCAACTGCCCATGATTTAGTCCTCTGAGGCCTGCTCCAGGCTCGCTGCAGCCTGTCTGCCCACGCCACACTGTGCTCCCAGCCCGGTGTGATACACCTTTCTGATCAATCATCCAGGTTGTCTTGGGTTGGAAATTTGTTTCACTCTGTCTTTTTGTGGGTTCTGCTGCTTCAGAATTTGTTTAGAGCCATTTTTTATGAGTATTTGGAGGGGTTTGGAGGAGAGCTCAAGCAAGTTACAGCTTTCACTCTGCCATCTTGGCTCCGCCCCCTGAATTCTAATTTTTAAAGACTTGTTTTCCTCAGTTAGCTATTGTATTTCCTTTTCCATTTGTCCAACTGTACTTTTTAAGGAGTTGTTTTCTTCAGTAGATTATTGTATCTCCTTTTTCTTTTGGTCAGTTCTACTTTTTAAGCAATTGTTTTCTTTTTCCATGCTCTTGAGTCTTTTTTTCATAATTCTCTTTTATCACTCTGATTTCTTTTCCCAGTTTTCCTTCTATGTTTTTTTATATGCCCTTTAAGCTCCTTTTTGAGCTCTTCCATGAGTTTTTCCTGGGCTTGAGACTACTTTCCGTTTTCCTTGGGGCTTTGCGCATAGGTGTTTTGATATTGTTGTCTTCTGAGTTTGCGTCTTAATCTTCCCTGTCACCATAATAACTTTCTATGTCAGATTCTTTTTTTGTTGTTGTTGTTATTGTTTGTTCATCCTTTTGGCCTTTTTTCTTTCTTTTAAATTTGAGCTGTGCTTCCAGGGTGGAAGGGGCACTGTCTCAGGCTTTTTGTGCTAGGGGCTACAGGTCCTGCCTGTTTACCTGGTGATATACTGACGTTGCCCTGAGGCCCATAGGGGACTCTCACGTCTGGTGCTATGCTGAGGGGGTAGGTGGGGATGTCTTTTGCTGCTGAAAGCTATGGGGATCTGGCAGCTTACCTGGTACTGAACTGGGATCCTAGTGCTGGTGTCTGGCATGTGGTAAGTGGGGTGTTTCTGAGTTTCCCTGGGGCTTCATTGAAGCACTTGGCAGTGTGGCCACTGGAGGCTACTGGTTTGCCCATGGCTACACTAAAGCACGTTGTGGGGGCCAGCACTGGAGGCTGCCTGTTTTCTCAAGTACCCATATGGTTGGTTTTTACGTGTTTGTCCAGGGGTATGTTGATGTATGTGGCAGTTCTCAGAGCTGAAGCCTGCCTGTTCCCCTGGCTATGCTGAGGCACTTGGGGGTCCTGGTGTTGGTGTTTGCCTGCTCCACCACACTGGGGCTCAGGATCCACCACCAGTTTTCTGAGGTTGGGCTTACTGGGACACTCCCTGTCCTGGACAGTACTTCACCTGAGTGAAACAGATCTTTCCTGCCAATCTTCCAAGTTTCTTAGGCTAAAAGATTGTTCCACCTTGTCTTTTTGTTAATTCTGCTGTTCTGAGATTTGTTTTGGGGTGCTGTTTTATGGTTGTTTGGAGGTGAATGTAGGAGAGTTATAGAGGTTTACTGCTTACTCTGCCATCTTGGCTCCTGGAAGCCCCTCAGTGGTTTTTCTTGCAGATTGGACTTTTTAGGGCCCACTTTTCTGGTGAGCCAGGTAGGAGGACATGGTGTGGACCTCATTTCCTTAGGCTGACCCTCCAAGGGACCCAAGAGGAAGGGCACACCTGGATGAACTTTTGCCATTGGCTTCTCCTTGGATACCAGACCTGCTTGGTTGGACTCCCCTCACTCTTTGCACCCAAATTCTCCAAGCCTGAGGTAGCTCTCTCTAAGCTGCAGATTGATGAGCCTGCTTTAATATACCCCTAATTGTTTTCCTTTCAAGAAGCTCAAGAAGAATTGTTTGAATATATAATCTGTTTGGGATCTATAATCACTTAAATTTTATCATTTTTTCAAAAATTACATAGTCATGATTTTAATTTTTGAAATAGAGATCAATGTTCTATTGCCCTCTATTTTTCTTGACTTTCATTTATTAAGACTAGGGAGATCCAATAGTGAAATTGCTAGTTCCTCATTTTCAATCAGCTACCCAATTAGATAATTTAAAAACTTCTTGTTGGTAGAGTGAAAATAGATTTTTTTGCCTTTAAATTCTTTTGATAAGGAGTTGTCATCAGTAGAGCTCTTAAATTGGTTGGGGGGGGCAGACTTTCTTTGACTCACAGCAAGGTGAGGAATCTGTGTTAAGGACTCTACCAACCAGTCCCTGGGAGACTTGGGGGAGATTTTCTCTGGGGTCTCAGGATTCCCCACCTAAATATAAGCTGTCAGGGCATGTGACAACTCTGTGAGCAATTTTTGTGCTCCTTTTATTTAAGAAAGCTCCCCTTCAGTCAGTAAATAAGGCTATTTTGAGCATAGAAAGCCATGACTTGGTCTTTGGCCCAACACCTCCTGGTGAAGCCATGCCCTATAGGCAAGTTGTTTTAGTTTTTAGGGAAAAATGATATGAATTTTGCTAAATATTCATTCATAAAGGATTTTTGGGTCTTAGTTGACCAGTCTTAGGACCCCAGAAGCTAGTCTCTGAAATCAAAATTTGAAGAATTGGAGAATTTACCAAAATAGATCCCTGAATATTTGAGGATGATCTCTGAAGGTTAATAAGTGGTTTTTAGACCTCTTAAATGGGGAACTTATCAAGAGGAAGCAAAGAAGCTATACCTTGGGAATTTAGTCCAATTCTCTTAGGAGAAGTTCCTCCAAGAATTCCCACTCCTGGTTGGGATGAGATGGGGTCAGGCATGAGCATTCCTACAAGATCCCCATTGGGCAAGTTTTTGATAGCCTGAGACAAGGGTGGACTCCCTGTCTACCAGGGGATGACCAAGGACAGAGCTGTCAAATTGTGTAAGATCTGGTTTGAGTACACAAAGCATTCAGAGGAATTGTATTAGCCAACACATGGTACTTTTGATTATTTTACTCTCAGAAAGTTACGAAATTTCATTTTGCAATCTCCTAAAACTACTTTAGAACAAATGAGTTGTCAGTATTGCTGGGAGGCAGTACAGGAAGTCAGCCAGTCCAGTCCTCTCTGTCCAGCTCTGTCAGATTTTTCCTCTCCTTCTCCTTCCTCTGCCCCTCCTGCTTATGCACCTTCCTCTTAAACTCTTCTTTCCTCTCCCACCACATGCATCAGGCAGCAGGAAGAGGTCTTGTATATATTTTTAAAAGTCATCCTTTTAGGTCATCAGACCTCTTCAATCAGAGGAAGGTTTGATGAAGATCCTATTGCAATTATAGATAAATTTAAAGCCATCTTTCATGGCTATAATCCCACCTGGGAAGGTGTGACTCCACTGATGGGGACCCTGTTATTCCCAGGAGAAAGAGCAGGAGTTATTGCAGTAACAAATAGACAAATTGTGGGTCCAAGAGGGCAGGGAACTTGGTCAGTGCAGGATCCCACTGCAGTCCTAACCAATGCACAGAGTTTGCTCAATTATAACAGGCCAAGGATTTTACCTTACTTAGGGACGTGGAATTTTTTTTGCATAGTGACCAGATAATTTTAATAAATTTCAAGAGACTACTCAGGAAGAGGGTGAGAACCCCATACAATTTTTTGATAGATTGTGTAAGAGTGGAAAGCATTTTGCTATATTAGATCCCTTAAATCTACAAAATGCAAGGATCATTAATGCAGCCTTCATTAATAAGTCATTATCTAAGATTAAGGACTACTTTCTTAAAGTAAGGACTACTTTCTCATGCCACCCTGGCATGAGAAAGCCATAGGGGAATTTAAAGCAATTTCACAATATGTCTATGAGAGAAAAGAACTAGTGAAAGACAAAACAGACATAGGAGAGAAGTATAAAACAAAAAACAGCCTAAACCTCTCCTTGTGCTTGTCCAGATTTCTGGCCATCCAACAGTCCCTTTCCAGCCGCCATTAATTCATCATACCAATAAAGATTGTCATTATTGTGAGAGGAGAGAGTTCTTTGCCCGAGACTGCATGATAAAAAAGCAAAACCAAGATTTCCTAGAACCCAGGAGCCAAATGTAACTTGGCCTTATAGACAGAATTATGACCTACAAAGAGAGAATAGATTCAGACAATGCTTAAATCAAAATGAAAGGAATGGGTATAGAAAGATCCAGGAGCAAAGTGAAGAGAGTCTGAACAACAGGAAAACTTCCATGCATGAAGGTGCATGGGAGAGGGAGGAGATGGTATTTTTGTTTCTGACATCCTTGTCCCTGTTATCCCCACATTACCCTCTCCCCTAACTGGAGAACTAAGCATTACTCTTAAGGTTGCAGACACTCTATATATTTGCCTTATTGATACTAGAGCTACTCATTCTGTCTTAGTTAAAAAACCCAGCTCTATTTGCACCATTATTCAGTCTATAAAGATAGTGAGAAGAGAGGGAACATCATGGCGGGTGCCTCTCTTATCTCCACAAGAGGGGACAGTGGGCTCCTTGTCTGTTTTGCATTCCTTCTCATGGATATCTAGTGCACTAGCTAATCTGTTGGGAAGAGATCACCTGTATAAATTCAATTTCATCATTTCATGTGTTCTAGATAATACCTTAACCTTACAGTTGCCAGACAAGCCAATTTCCTTATTTCCACTATTGATTGACTCTCTTAATGATTTCTCTAAAGATGAACTTCTTTCACTATTTCCTTTGTTACCTGCTTCAGACATTTATGATAATGACCTTAGTATCTCACATGATATTTCTAGTTCTTTGTGGGTCATATCTTCCACAGATATGGGTCTGTTGAAATCAGCAGTCCCCGTCATCATAACTACAAAAAGGGGCTACCACCATCTCTACCTCAATACCCCCTAGCTACAGAAGCCATTGAAGGCATTGTATACATCATTAATTCATTAATAGAAACAAGGGAATATGATCCTGTGTAGGTTTCCCTACAATACACTTATATTACCTATTAAGAAACCCAAACCAGGCCCTGATGGGAAACCTATTTACTGTTTAATGAAAGATTTGTATGCTATTAATGTACATGTTATACCAAAGCATTCTGTGGTACTTAACTCCACTGCCATTGCTTCTTCTATTCCTTATATGGTCATAGATTTGTGTGCCACATTTTTTAGCATCCCTATAAGCCCTGAATCCAAACACTTATTGCATTTACCTGGAATAATCAGTAGTGGACATGGACTTGTTTGCCTCAAGGCTTTGATGAGTCTTCCACTTTATTCTCTCAAATTTATAGCAAGACTTAGCCTCTATTGTCTTCACAGACTCAATTTTAGTCCAACATATTGATGACCTCCTATCAGAGTCATCTACCATTGACATCTGCCAAATGGATAAGCATCATCTCCTCCTCCAGCTCTACCACTGTGGACACAAGGTCTCTAGATCAAAGGGTACAGTAGTACAAGCTTCAGGTAGAGTATTTTGGCTGTGTTTCACCAACTGGAATTTGTTATATTTCTCAGAAACACATACAGGCAATCCAACAGCTATCAGTTCCTAAGACAAAAAGGCAGGGATTTGCCATTTTGGAAGCTGCAGATGTTGCCATCAACGGATTCCATCATTCAGTGAAATTATTAAACCTCTTGTTGCTCTAACCAAATAACAAATTCCTGAACCTCTACATATTGAGCGTGAACATCTCACTACCCCCATAGAACTGAAGAGAACACCAAGGTATGCTCCAGCCCTAGGAGTCTCAGTAAGCCCTTCACTCTTTTTGTACATGAATGAAGGGGGGTGGCTTCTGGTATTCTCACACAATCACAGGAGCCCACAATGTGCCCTATGGCTTATTATTCAGCTCAGTTGGATAATGTAGCTGCAAGTGCTTCACCCTGCCTGTGGGCAGCCCTCTTAATGGAGAAAGCTTATGACCTTGTATTGGGAAATACATTAACTATTTAGTGCCCTCATGAAATTGATTGCTGTTATGTCACTGCACTCAGGCCTTTTCTGATCAAAGGCTTGCTAGATATAAAGCAACTCTACTTGGAGGGAAAATGTTAGCATTAAGAGGTGTTTTGTCCTTAACCCTGCAACGTTGCTCCCTGATCTCCCTGCACAACTGTGCCTCTGTTGTTGATTTAGCTGAGAAAGCTCACAGTGACCTTATTGATGTCCCACTAGACAATCTAGATGTGATCTTCTATACTGATGGCTCCCCATTTATGAAGGATGGAGAGTGTTACACAGGAGCCTACGTGGCCTCTAATCACAGTGTAGTTTGGGCAATTTCACTCCCTTCTCACCTCAATGCCCAGGCTGATGAGTTTATTGTTATTCAAGCCTGTCACCTTGCTACTACAGATAAGGATGTCACTGTATATACATACATATATATTTATATACATACTCTCATTATGCTCTTAGAGTGTGTCAGGCAATTGGGATGTTATGGTTACAACAAAGATTTTCAACCTCTTCTGGCAAAGTTATTAACAATTCTGATCCTTCTTTCATTCTCCACTTTCAAGATTCTTCAAACATCCAGACAAGCTTCCTGACAACCCTGATGACATCCAATGGCGTCCACTTCACTACAATGATGCTGAAGTTGAAAAATAGAAGCAGCTAGCAGTATAATGCAAAACAGGTCTCTGGGATCTGGATTACTCCTGAAGGTAAAGGACTCCTCCAGAGTTATCATCAGATATGTTTTCATTCTGGGGGACAGTATGGCACATGGGAATAACTGATTCAATTAGGTGAAGGTAGGTTGCTGCTGATGTCACCTCTGTTGCTGCCTGTATAACTTCAAACTGTCCCCACCTGTTTAGCCTTTAATCAACATGCCTTCAAGGCTGCAGCTTTTGGTGGCTATCCCCTTGCTCACATTCCTTTTGAACACTTGTAGATTGATTTTAGAAACATGCCCAAGGCAGGACATTTTAAACATTATCTGGTTGTGGATGATCAATAAACTCGCTGTGCTGAAGCCTTCCCTGCTTCAAAAGTCACTGCTGCCATTGTAGTTAAGATGCTGATTGAAGAGATTGCACCCAGGTATGGTCCACTTGCCTGCATTGACTCTGATAGAGGGTCTTGCTTTACTGACTCTGTCCTTTCCCAAGTATATTCTAATCTTGGAGTTTCTGCCAAGTTCCATATTCCCTCATCCCCAGAGTTCTGGCCAGTTTGAACACATGGTTGAACATCAAAACTGATTAATTGACAATTTGATTAACTGAGGCACAAAGGGAATGAAGGCACAGAAGCATTTATTGGGCCATACAGCACACAGCCTGTGGAGAACAGCAAGAACCTAGCCTGCTGCTCCGATGATTGGGAGTTTAAGGAATGGTTTATATGGTTTTACAATAAAGGGAGGAGGAGGTGTTGGGGGGTGTTCTAGGAGTATTCTGGGGGCATTTTGAGGAGGAGAGTTCCAGGAATTGGATGGAGAATAGGAGGAGTGCAGAGTATTCAGAACCAGGATGTTGGTGCAGTTCTGTTCATTTGGGGTTGATGTGAACCTATCTGAGCCAGCCTTGTGGCTCTGGTAGCAAAGGTGTTCCGGGTTCACCCAGTGGACACCACAAAGGATCACTGCTGCTCGAGCAGTACTCACTCTACCTCTCAACTGGCTGATTCTGATTCCCAAGGTATTCCAGTCTTTTCTGGATAATAAGGGAGCTCCAGCAAATCAAGGTGATTAGTAAACTCATTAATCATCCCATTTCTACAAAACTCTTATTGGTAAATTGTGCTCTGAAATACACCCGAAATGGCCTGATGGTCTCCCTTTGGCTCTATTTTATCTCAAAAGTACACCAAGGTTGGGGGGTAGGCGGGATATCATATGTCTCCTTATGAAATGCTTTGCAGACACTCTCCTATAAAATCAAACCCTTTTTCTTCAGCATGCACATCATTTTTGGAGGAGATATTTCTGTTGCCTCCTACATTCAGGAAACAGCACAGATTGAAAGAACTCCAACAAATAGGAGCTGTTGTACAAACTGGACCTCTGGACTTCTCTCTCCATGACTACCAACCACGTAATCACATCTACATCAAGAATTTATAACCAACCAGTGGAATTGAGCCTGCCTGGGAGGGACCATTTCAAGTCCTACTGACTACTCCACTAACTATCAAATTATGAAAAAGGACTCCTGTATTCATTGCTCATACATAAAACCTGTGCCGTTTTTGGGTCAATATTTTTAGGAGACCACCCAGAGGAGTTTCTTAATAAGACTCTGTTAGACATAAAGGAATCACTTTGCCTTTATGGGTGTGGGTAACTTTCATCTTAACTTTCATTCATTATCCTTTGGCTTCTTTGGATAACAATGATGTCAGATGGACAAAGGTCCCATTACACTGTGGCTATGCTTTTAATGTTGCTTCTTGGTGCCTACTTTGGTGACCTCATTCCAGATGCTGTCACTAATATTCTCTCTTGGAGCAAAGAGACTGAAGATTTCTTTTATCTCCCATGTCTAATAGAACCTATTTCTCCATCATCCTCAGACTGGTTAAGGAAATGACTAGAAATTGTTTGCTATCTAGCAATTCCAACATTTCTACTGAGTGCTATTATGATGTGGGGAAGACACAAGTCACCCTTATTATACAATTTGATGCTAATTGTGGCTACAGTGCCCTGCTCTGTTCAGTTGTCTAGCCTGTTAACTGCAAGGATAGGCAGAATAGAAGCCTTACCTGCAATCCTAACATGATATACTGGAAGCAGAGTGATGGATCTCTCTTTGCTAATCCAGAAAGTCTTCTTCCCTTAGCAAGTGAAGCACATTACTATGTAGAAGTGCAAGTTCTTGCAAGATGGGGATAGCATGTGCATTACAGGTACCAAGGTCCTTTTGGTAAACTGCCTTCTACAAATAAGCCCATCGAAATTATGCCCAAATCTACCCAGAATCCTAATGACAGTACCCCTTCTTTAAAGAGAATATTCAGACATCTACTTGGTCTTAACATACCCACCAGAAATGAAACCAGCAGTGGCATTCCCACAATGATTCTTGAACCTACAATTTGGAATTTTTCTGAACCACTGACTTTTATAACCTGACCCCTAGTGAGCCTGCCTATGATAATTCTGCTAGCGAGTGCTCCTGTGATAATTTTACAAGTGATCCTACAAATTTAATAATTTATTTTGCTGTAACTGTCAAAGGAAGTAAGAATCTCTACTCTCCAAATTGTTCTTTTGGAAGATGTAGAATTTTGTGTTATTACTATTAGTGGTAGTTACTGGTTTAAGTGGTATGGGAATTTATCACTGCTATAAATGTTTTGTCACTTGAGACAAGCATATTCCTGATCCAGCAAAGAGTCAGATGTGTCAACACCTGACACACCCCCATGTTGTTCTTATCAAATATAACAAGACTAGTGAAAGCTCCTCTATAATAAGTGAAATGGACTTTGGGACAAAAATTTCAGAGAATGCAGAGGTATGTGTCATTCAACATCCTCTAAGCCCTGAAATCCAAAAGGGAACTTGCGATGTATACCATGTTGAAAGGATTGATGAGTTGAAAACTGTACAAGTGCAGGAACTTTGTAGGGTGGAGGAATCTTCTCCAGAGAGGGCTGTTGAAGTTGTTTGGAATTTCAATCCCTGTTATATTGGACTGTTTTTCTTATTAATTTTACCTTTTGCTCTAGGAAGCAGCTAATTCCTGGCCTCTTCAAAATATAACATAAGTTATCTATTTTTAAGACATAAAGATGTCTCCTTATTTAGGAAGAAGAGAGAAACTGATAACCATGAGGAGTCCCATGCTGATCAAAATCTTTTAAATGCTATCATACATATTTGTGCCTTTAAAAATGCCAGCAGCCTTATTTGTGCTGATGTCAGACAAAAACTTCATGAGCTCAATGCTATCCAAAGCCCAAATAGAATAGGAGCTGTTTGGTGGCTAAATGCTACTTCTGAGAAAACAATCTTTCCCTGGGCCAATTGTGCCTACACTTCCAATGCTTCACATTTAATTGAGGATGCTTATATATCCAAAACTGAATGGGTCCTAAATAACTATATTATTGGGATGTATAGCCAAATAGGGCATTTCACCATGTATAGCCAAATAGGTCATTTCATCATGCTAAGGGGATTGGAATGCATGGGTCCTGGATTTGTCAACACATCCACAGAAACTTCACCTGAGCCTTGGGTGGTTTTTCCTGTTGAAGCAGAAAAAATTATGTCATAGGTACAAGGCAACAATATTTCATTCACTGGGCCATTTGCTCCTTTTGACTTTGCCAAATGTGTCATTAATGACAGCTCCTGGAACACTAACAAATGAGATGTTCCCATTGCTATGAGCATTAGGCCTCTTCAGTTTTTTAAGGTGACATTTCATATCTTAACTCATAACAATTGACCCGAACTAGTTTAAAGCTAGGCTTCCTCCATTGACAGTAGCTTGCCTTTTACCAAATTTCACACTTTGTGTAAACAAAAGTAAGACTGTAAGTTCCGGAATAAATGTAGGCAATTCAGTGAGGCATAATTTTACTTTTACTATTCCTGAACCTAATAATGTTTCCTTTGTTTTGTATGTGCCCTGAAAAAGAATTTACAGAGCAATCATAATTTTTCCTTTGCAATAGTCACCTACAGTGGATGCAACTTTACTAATGAAACTACCCAAATTCCTGAGTTACTCTGGGGTTTAGTAACAGCAGGTCAGTTTTTTGTCTGTGCTGGTGTTGCCTTTTCTGGGTGGTATGGGCCTTGTGGGATAGCCTATTTGGTCCCACCAGTAACTATGACTCATTTTCCTGTAGGATTTATAGGAATAAGAACAACCAGAAACACGGGAACATGATGGTGTCATCAAAAATGGAGTAGTTTTGGAGGAGATCACAAGGCTGTGGCAAAGTATGGTACAGGTATCACTTCTTGTGGGTTCTTATTCCTACTTTAGGTATCACTGCAGTAATAGACTCTGCTAGAGGCCGATGTGCTGAACTAGAGAATCTTGCTCAGGATACCTCCGCTGTTACTCAGTGCACTACCGCAGTTATTTCAGGTCTGCGAGCAAAAATGGGTCTGCTCATCTACCCAGCAGGACCTCCTGAAAGGTCAAGATAAATCTGGCAAGGTCTGCTTACTGGCTCATTTGTCAACCAATGGGATTCTGTATTTTATGCAAACCCTCCTGGAGGGTCAAGGGCAAGGTTTATCAACCAGTGAGATTCTGTATTTTTAGTTTGCTTCACCTGTATTGTCTGGGTATCAAGCACTACAAAACCAAGGCCCTGGAGGAAAGGGATATCACAGATCTTGAGGAAGATGTGGGGTCCTATTCCTTAAAGGAGGCCAAGTCCCTTTAACAAATGGCTAAAGGCTCAAGAGCTCTGTCTCAGTGGTTTTTCTTGCAGATTGGACATTTTTGGGGGGCCCACACTCTTCAGGTTTTGGAAAATCCACAATTCCCACCTGAGTATTCTGATGGCTTCCATTTACTGAGTCACCTGAAGGTTTATTTCCTTCAGGCCTGGAAGATCTAAAGCTGACTATCTAGCAGTCTTTCCTACTGAGCCCCTATATTCCTCTGAGGCCCAAATTTAGGAAGACCTCTTTCAATAAAGACCAGGCTGAGTGAGTGGGCCATTGGCAAGCTCCAAGAGGTAACCAGAATAAATGACTTCACCTCTTTCTGGGACCTATTAGCTACTGAACAAATGACACAGTCATGCAATCATTCTTTGTTCAGAATTACCTAGTATGAGTTGCCTGATGCAAGATGGTTTCTCTAAGATGAGCACAGCATCAAAGGCTTCTTTTGCTGAATGGAATTGATACATTCAAAATAATATTTGACTAGGTCTCCTCTGGTTTTGGTGCTCTTACAACCAAGTGGAGCTGTGCCAGAGACTGGAACCTTGCTTCCTCTGCTAGCCCACTGGCTTCATGTATAAGTACCAGGCTCCTGAGGAATACAGCTAAGTCTCCTTGACCTTAAAGTCTTTGCTCCCCTCAGAGAGTTCCAAATGGTCTAGAGAAATAGCTCAAGTTCCTCTAAATTGGCAGACTACCTCTCTTTGGGGTTGGTTTGGACAACTTTATCTCACAAAGGGCTTGGAGAACCAAAGAATGCCCACAGGGTGGAGGACCTGCAGCCTCAAGGCCACATATGGCCCTCTAGGTCCTCAAGGGTGGCCCTTTGACTGAATCCAAACTTCACAGAACAAATCGCCTTCCTTAATAAAAGGATTTGTTCTATAAAATTTGAACTCAGTGAAAAGGCCACACCCAAGGACCCAAGAGGCCACATGTGGCCTTGAGGCCACAGTTCCCCACCCCTGGTAGTGCCTTGCTTTCTAATAGCATGGGAGAGAGAAAATTGTAGCTATGCAGCTATGGTAAATATATATTTACTTGGAAGAAAGAGAATCTGCTAGCTAACCTGGTGGTAATTCTGAGTCCTTAGCGATAGGTGAGGGAGTGTCCTTATTTAGCCTCTGAGGACAAAGGGTGATAAAGGTGATAAAGATTTCATTTCAGTCTTCTGACATGGCTCTTAGGCAATGGGAAGTTTTGGCGGGTGAGCCAGGGAATACTGAGTAGGTGGTAGTGATATTGCAAAGACTTCAGTATTAACTAGGATGGGTTGCATACAAGAAGTGTGTGACCTCTTAGCTACTTTACTACAGATGACCTGGATACATGATGAAGAATGGCTCACAGTACCTTTAATGTTATCATCTATGCGGTGTTCCTGATATTCCTGCTGCTATTCCAATTCGTTGGCTCATCATTACCACTTTTCATTAGGAGATCCTCTATGAACTACAAATATTTGACATCTCATAGCACATAGACCAGATTGTTGAAATCTGAGACTCAATCCTTTCAAAAAGGGAAGGAAAAGCTTCAGATTTTTGGCTTTGATTCTCTTCTATTTTTTTTCCTTCCTCTTTACAATAATTCTTTGAGGAGATTGGTGTAACTTTTTTGGCTTTTCTTTTCTTCTTAAGTATTGTCTAAGGATGAATGTCTAATAAAAGCCCTGAAAAGTATTTAAATTGCGGACCATCCTCTAGAAGATCTTAGGACCTTGCCACCAGAGGGTGACAAAATGGCTTAGATCCTAAAAGGTGACAAAGCCAGGCCTATGAGAGGGACAAGATCAAGATTCTCTCTCTTGAAGCCTCTAGTGGCCTCTGACTGTTGATGTGGGTTCCTGATTACCAAGGGGAATAAAAGATTTCACTCATGTAAGGTCTAGGCCCTTCTGATTTGGTAGATATCTTTAGATTAAGCAAGACCTCACACCCTTGCCCCACT